CCCCCCCTACATTCGACTAACCCATCCCTAACATTTTCTTTTTCATTTTTGCTGTCTTGTGTATTTGTTCTCCTTCTATCTCGGTTTCTTCTCAAGTTCCCGCCCTCTGTTCATGTTGTTAAATTAAGCAAAAAATCCATGCCCCTACTTCACTTTGTAAACATTAACAATGAAATGTTTTACTCGGGCAGGTCAGGTGATCTTCGGCTCACAACGACTTTGCAATAATATTGTGTCTATTTATTTCTTCGGTCTTAAATCGTGTGGAGCGAAAGTCCATGGCGTAGATCTATATATGTATTTCATTCTTTACTTGTATTCATCTAATAATTTTTGCCCTTTTCCATTTTTTAAAAACATCATTTCTGTTTGTTCGTATGTCAACTCGTCAGCATTAATTTGGTACATTCCATCCATTCGTTAAATGATATCACTCATTATTTCGTTGTTTATCTTCAGCATTTCAGCATGTGTGTGAGTTGTGTTATTTATTGTTGCCCACTTTGGTGACAGTCTCATAGACCATATTGTCGAGATATATAGTCTTGTCAGTATTTTTGTTTATAGAGTGAAACATGTACATTTTGAAGACTTTTGTGTGTAAGAGTGCCACATCAGAATTTTTAAAAAAGGTTTTTCATTATGACTGTAGAAATATTACTGCACGTATAATTGGTGTTTGATGCTAGAAAATTTAAAAATCAAGATATATTTGGGTATTAACTGAGGAATGGTGAAAAGATGGCTAAATACCTAACAATCCTATCTAACCAACGTTGCCGTGTGTTGGTTCAAAAGAGAAGAGTTTAACAGAAAGAGTGAGAAAGTTAACAATGTTATTGTTTCCCCAGAGAATGCGTGTTGTCATAAAGAGGAGAAGGGCTCATTATAAATTAATCCATCGTAAAAAGATAAGCAATCTTCATTCTGATTAATCACTTCGTTTATCCAGATTCCAAAATGGTTATCCAAATGAAAGTGGTACCCTCTGGTCTACATTGCCTTTTCAAGCGCGTGTTTCTTTTAAAAGCATATATGTCTTTTCTAAAGCCTTTAGAAACGAGTTTGCATGTTAAAAAAAAAGCTAAAGACTCAATTGTACATACTAATTTCTTACATAGCCCTCTTAGCAGTTTAACTTTAGGCCATATTTTTTCCCCGTTGTGTCATGTTCGAATTTGGAAGTTCAAAAATGAAAAAATAGTTTCCTGTTCCTGTAGCAAAGAAAATAGTCAGAAATGTCTATATTGGTACTTCACAAAGCACCCGATGTTGTGCTGGTTTCTATTTTCCGCACCTCTGGAAGCTGAGAAGGTATTTTATTTGGTAAATTGTATGTTTTCTTACAATAATAATATTGATCTTACCAGCTAAGTTAATTGTTTTCGTACACAGCTGACCTAAGGTTGTTCTCAGACAGTATTAAAATTTCTCTTTTAAGCCGAAGTGTGCAAGAAATCCAGGAGTAATAATTGTAGCATGTATTGAATTGTTGTTGTTTTTTAAATATTATTTTTTGTTTCCTTGAGATACCGGCCAGTTATTACGTTATTGCTCATGTGGGGGGGAAATGTTAGACTTGTTATGTGGATTAACGATGAAGTCTAAGCATTTTGGAGGGCTTTGATTTACCTGTTAATGTGTTAAAAACCAATTGAACTGTCAACTGACTGTTTTTTCCATTTGTTTCTCGGGAGCGTTTTGAACGGAATATTCGTGGATAAATCACTGCAGCCTATAAGCTGATACATTTTGAACTACTTCCAGAAAGACCCCCTAATGCAAAAGCGTTTGGGTAGACTCACTAAATAGTTCTTCTTTTGCTTATATTATTTTCACTTGTTTTTATATTTACCTTCTTTCTCTGTAGTTACAAAGAGCATCGTTTACTCCGAATGTTGTGGCTTGCTAGATTTTCTTGCTGTGTTTGAAGGTCATCCGACCTACCACGTACATTGTCGTCAACATACGACAATCTCATTTCTTTCCCCAGAATGACAGAATTTATGAGCAACTTCAACACCTGTTTTTACTCATTTTGCACATGCCTTTTCCTGTGGTAAGCCTACCGTCCAAACAGAATGAAATAACGCTGTTGTCGTAAGCCCAATGACTTCACGGCTATGACAGTTCTATAGACATCTTTACCGTGGTGAAATCAGTCACTTAATCCATCTACTCGACCATCAGACATTTTCATTTTTCAAGCAACATCTTCGTATAGAGATCTTATACTGAGTTATCACCCGAAAGATACAAATATTCTTTATAACGTGTGAACCCAACCCATAGACTTGTATGATAATGACCTAGACTGCACAATCTGACGTAATTCAGGTTCTCCCTGGAGTGCACCATTTGACTCTATTTAGAAGCAGGTAGAGGGCAAGAAGGGAAAGGTTATGTGTGCACTCGACTCCAGCAAGATTGCTATTTTGTCCTTCATTTGAGTGCCCATGGTGTACTCTAAAGCAGTTTAGGTTTTCATAGAGAGCAAAGATTAGCGGCCATGACAGTGCCTGGTCTAGGGTATTATAATTCAAGTCTATGACCCAACATCACAAACGCCGTGGGCACCTCTAGGACGTACTTTGGACGTCCCTCTCGTTCCTACGGTTCATCTCGCACACACGAACAATCGAGTGAGTTTCCTCCCTTGGAGTTAAAACATATTCTTTTTCAGCTGTACCCAACACTGATAAGATGTGACGAAAAGGTCAAGGCTAGTCTTCTCACGTCAAAGTTTAAGAGTTGACAGCTGATGAAAAGCACAAATAAATATCAATGCAAACTTTTTAGAAGAGTGACGTCTTAATCCGTCTGA